AAAATCTTTCTCCACAGTGTCAGTGTTCTGACAGGTATGCATCTAAATGCTATTGCACAAGTTGATCTGCAGTAGTACTATGAAGTGAGCGTAGTGCACAATAGTATACCAGCAGCTGTTCTACAACTGATCTCAAAAAGAGGGGACTATTTATTACACTTGCTGGATTTTACTCTTACTTGTGTGTTTTCTTGTTGTTGATGCTCTCCTGCCTGTCTCTCATCGCTTTATCTTTAATACAAGGGTTCTTGCTGCAGTAAAATGTATAATACGCAATCCCCATAACTTTTATATACATATTTGAACTTATCTGTGCGCTATATCTTATGAAAGCAATATTAAAGTATTGCTGACTGTTTAAGCTTGCAATTTAAAATGCAGAGTTCTTATTAGATATTTTGAGTAAGGCTTTAATGGCAGTTTTGCAATTGATACCCAAGTATGTAATAAAAGGACATTACTTTCCACATTTCTAGACGGCATCAATAAGTTAGACGCATCCTCATGTTACCTTATAAGCCGTTTTTAAGGCAGCTAGACTTTTTCCTCATATCACATTTTTAAGAGCTGTAGGGAATAGAGAAGATCAAATTCTATAATACAACTAATATTATATTTAAATTCTAAGTTTGGGAGGCACAAGCCATTCATACTAGATTTTAAACACATGTTCTTATAAAATGGTCATGTTACAAACCTTAAATATATATTTTATTTTTTTTACGTTTAAACATTTGCTTTTTTTTTTTTTTAAATATGTGGAATGAACACCATTTTGTAAAGATTTATTTAGGTAATAAACCTAAAATAAGTGAAAAAAACAACTTTTAAAGTTCATGCATTTGCTGCAAATTCTCAGTGAGCTCCCTTAAAGGACCACTGTAGGCACCCAGACCACTTCAGCTTAATGAAGTGGTCAGGGTGCCTGGCCCAGCTAGGGTTAACCCATTTTTTCATAAACATAGCAGTTTCAGAGAAACTGCTATGTTTATGAATGGGTTAAGCCTTCCCCCTATTTCCTCTAGTGGCTGTCTCATTGACAGCCACTAGAGGCGCTTGCGTGCTTCTCATTGTGATTTTCACAGTGAGAGCACGCCAGTGTCCATAGGAAAGCATTATGAATGCTTTCCTATGTGACCGGCTGAATGCGCGCGCAGCTCTTGCTGCGCGTGCGCATTCAGCCGCATGGGAGGAGAAGAGGAGGATCGGAGGAGGAGAGCTCCCCGCCCAGCGCTGGAAAAAGGTAAGTTTTTACCCCTTTCCCCCTTCCAGAGCCGGTCGGGAGGGGGTCCCTGAGGGTGGGGGCACCCTCAGGGCACTATAGTGGTCCTTTAAACCAGTAAGATGCTTGGTCAATGCAAAGACCCCATAGTTGTCAGCAGGAGGTTAAGGGACAAAAAGTTGAGAACTTGGCAGCAGCTATAGGCTATACCTAGAGGATAGCCGCTATTGCATTAGATAATAGCTACATTCATAGTTTTGAAAATGTACCCATCAGGCACTACTTACATTTATCTAGGAGCATTTTGTCAGTTTAGATTCAAATCCCAAACTTTTCTAATAGGACTGTTTATACAAGTGTGACTGATAATAAAAAGCAGCGAGTGGTAAGAGTAAACCATCTCTGTTTTATGGAAGTCTTAGACTTGGATTTACTGGGGATGAGAAATTAGAGCCCATGTCAACACTCTCCAGTTCCAAACTAAAAACTTATCACTAGTATGCAAATTTACATTAAAAGGGTACACAGTGTCACTGTATAGCAAACAGAAAATATAACATAAAGCAAGTCTATTCATATGACTGATCTACAGGATGAGGTTGTAAACTGACTGACCTATCAGCCCTGCCCGTGTCAATTTTGTGAGCACTACCAATGTACTAATACATAAAATTACTGAACTGCACAGAAGAGTGTCTGCTTATGATCAGAGTTAGCTGTAGATCCGATCCTGGAATGCAATGTGTCCTTCAGGATCGCACCCCCCATTTTCTTGAAGCAGAGTTTGTCCTGGACATGAGAAGTAAAATTATGAATATTCTTTTTTTGGAAGAGGGAAGATAACAGCAAATGATTTGCTCTTGTGGCAATAAAGAAGGATTGCGGAAAATAAGATGATGTGCTGGACTATTATTATAGTTTAACTGTTACTAGCTATTCTGGAAAATATGTCAGGGGAACAGCTGCACCCTTCAAGGTACAGAAGATAGTTGAATGCTCACCAATAATCTATATTTGGTATGACTGCATTATAAAGGCAATCTCAACTTGACAAAGAGTATAAAAAAAAAATAAATGGTTGTTTCTTGGATAAAAACAAAACACCAACTGCACCCTTACACAGGATGGCTGAGCTTCTACATAACAGAGAACACAGCTCCTGATTATCCCATTGTAGACCAATTATGGACCTGTGTTGAGAATACAGTTCATATGATTTGGGAGTTTCCCAAAGCATTTCTATAGGGACAGGGCAGGACGGCAGAGCTTGGTGAATGTCTGGGAGCTGCTTCGCCAACATGTCACTGCAGGAGAATAAGAGTCAACATAATATCTGCCAGATAGATATTTGCATACAACATAGGTCTTGTTTAAATGCATTACTAATATAATACATACAAATATGGATGGCAAAATGCATCGTCAGAATGCTTTTTAGGCACTCAGTGTTTGAAAACAGTCTCTGATTTTACCTGCTTCACTCCCTGCACAGAATTACTGTACGTTTTCAAACACAGTAACGTAAGATGCATGTAAATGGTTAAATGACCCTGTCATTTACTAAAGGTAGGGATCAGTTTTTCTCTATTTATTTTACCATATATTTCATTAAAAATAAATACATAAATCTATTTACTTTAAAACTCGATGAAAGGATAATTATACTAAAATAGTTTTGAGGTGACAGTTGTCCTTTAATGGCATCAAATAATAAAACAATTTAAAAAATGTAAAAAAAATCCCAGTGTGTGTTGTATAAAATAGGTTGCATAACAAAATAATCATATGAAATCTGTATTGTTTGTGTCTGGGAGCATACATCTCAAGCGCATCAGAAAGGGCCAAGACAAACAAACCATTATCACCTAAAGCACTTGGCTACTTTAAATTTCGTCTGGACAAAAATCTATTACAGAGCTTCTCAAGGTTTCTCTCAAACCTACTGAAATCATCTTTCCTAATTACCCAATTATACGTCTTGGTATAATCTAGAAAACAATGTCCTCAATGTCATTTAGGTCTATAATAAACAATAATGGCTATTGTGGATCGCAATGGGACACCACTTGTAATTCTGCACCATAAAATGTCTGTTCCATTGATCACCACTCAGTACATTTTAGTGACCATTTAGACAGTACTCGCCCTTGCATTATTGGCAGCATCCTAATTCAGACTCTGCCATCTTGTCCTAATTCAAACTCTGAGACCTTGGCAATTCATCGATGAATAAAGGGAGTGTTAAAGACAACCTTGATAAAGCCAATTGGCTATTTTAGGGGTTAAGCTAAGAAGGGTAGCATTATTTCAGGAGATGAACATTTCCAAGGATATGCGAATATTAAAACAAAAGAAGGCTTAGAATAGAAAAGGCTTCTGATCGGAAAACGGAGTTAGGATAAATAAGATACGGAAAGACTGACTGACAGACTTTTTAAAAACATTTATTCTATGTTTGTATTTTTACAACTTACGGACTACCTTTTCCTAAATAAAACGTAGTCTATATTAATGCCATATTTATCCTCTGACAGGGAACACAGAAAAAAAAAGTATCACATACGTACATGATCTTAATTTTTTTATTTTCACTCGTGTTTATTCTAGTCATCTCTGTTTCTTCTTTACAGTATAACATACAATTATTTAGTTTCTTTTCTATTCATATATTTTTCTTTTTTTTGTCAATTTAAATATTCATGTGGTGAAAAAAAGTTAAGTTTTTAAAAAGTCAAATTTGAGTAAAATAATGAAAAAACACAATTGCCATTAAATCATTTTATGTAATACATGCAAGCCTGATTCACATAGAATTAATTTAAATGGCAAATTTTATGCAGTGTATTTAAATTCCAACCCTGTCTTAACAACTAAATCAGAAGTAGTAATGTAAGAAAAATAAAAATTAATAAAAATGTAGAAAACTAGGATAGCTATAAAATGAAAATACAAAATGCATCAGAATTCTATGCCCCAGAAGCACAGTCTGGACACCGTAGAAGCAAATAATTAACAGGTTGTGCTGTAGATATCTCCTCTGTCCATCTTTCCCTGCACTCTGTTATGCATTACTGCCACAATTTTCAAAAATGTACCAGAGACATATGCCCCACTTGCACACATAAGTACTTGTGCATCTGCGAGTGTAGTATATGCTCACTTTCACTAAGGAACAGCAGTGGCTGACAAGTGTCTTTCTTTAATGGTCAAAGGGGCATTTAATAATGGCAGAAGTTGCACTTGCTCAAGGTTTGCAGAATTCACATGAACTTCAAAATCAAGTAGATGGTATCAATTTGTATTTCTTTTTAGTTTATTTTTACATTTTAAATACATTATTTGAGCTACTTTTGGAAGAGAGCACAATGCTCATTTCAGCAAGTACTTTGCTATGTACACTGGAGATTTTAGATATGACCGATGACTTGATATGTATACATTTTTCCTCCATGTAGCTAGGCATAGCTACCTCATTAAAATGTTTGCTATGGTGCTTTCTGCAATCAAACTTCCTCTTGTATTATCAATACTACAGTGGGACAGCCATCATTCTCTATAGCACGGGTAGGCAAATTTCGGCACTCTTGTCTTTCTTCCATTTTCATCACATTTGACATATCAAACAATACTTCCAATACAGGAAAGTACAAATTATATTTTATATATATATATAAATAAATAAAACACACACACACACGATACCAGTAGAGAGCACTCCGGAGTCTTTCAAGGTAAATTTCATCTGTTGCTTTATTGAGCAATTACAAATTCACATAACGTTCCAGTCGACGTTTCAGTCTGTAAAATACTTTTTTCAAGACCTGTAAAAAAAAGTATTTTACAGACCGAAACGTCGACTGGAATGTTGTGTGAATTTGTAATTGCTCAATAAAGCAACAGATGAAATTTACCTTGAAAGACTCCTGAGTGCTCTCTACTGGTATCGTATACAATTTAGTTGGAGACAGCACCGGAGCATTAAAAGACCGGGAGCATTGAGTGCTGAGACTTATATATATATAAGTTACTTGCATTATTACACCCTTTTAGGTTCCAATTGTGCATTATCTGATATTTGGCTCAGCACAAACAATAGATAGGACACATTTGTATTGGGAGAGCTGATAGAACCAGGTGCTTTAAACAAGTTAATTATAATTTATGATACTTCATTGCAGAACAGTATGATGGTTCAATCAATCAGATGGCTACATCAAGTATTAACAAAGAATCAATTTGGCAGCAGGATAATAATTTGTCTCTGTCAAATATAAAACCACTTAGTGACCAAGAGGTATATGATAGCTGTGTAATTGGCAATAGAAACCAAGGCTTGTCTGGGAGGTTTGCATACAGTATTTGATAAACAATGTCATTAGGTGGCTTTGCAATAGTTTTATAAAGCTGTGAATATTACATGCAGATCCACAAGGAGACCCTGGGGAGAAAGGGCCTTTAAAACTAGCCATTAAGCCCACCTGCCTGTACAGAGTTGCAGAAAATAGTTTGTAGTTATCTCAACAAGAAAGCTTTGTGCTAGACATATACACGTAGTGGGCACAGTATCTTTGCCTATCATATCGACATGTTTTAACTGAAGACCAGGGCACCTTTAACACTTCAATGCAATGGACTTAAATTGGACTGGAGATGATTACATTGGAAACAATCGCTAACTCTTATTTTCTCCTATTTTTATTATTTTATTCATATTAAATTATGTTTCATACCTAAATATTTGATGTTAAATGAAAGCCCTGTTTCCCCTGAATAAAATTATATGTAATAAGTGTGGGTGCACATAATATGAAAGAGGTGAATTACGCCTGAACAGGCATATAGCGCAAAATTCAAGGTTTTGTTTATGTTTCATTTTGATCACAACGTGTACATTTGTCTCAGTCCTTAAGGGGTTAAGCTAAAGTTGTTTTAATGACTATAGTGTCCCTATAAGTGCATTTCTGAACAGCATTTAATGGCCTGTAGTGTTGAAAAAGTAAACATGTATGTCTCAAATATATATTATTTATTTAGTTAGTTATTTAATAAAGGGTGGCATTTGTATGTGAAGGTCAGATGCAAGACATAAGGACCAACTCTGATAAATTTTAAATGCATTTAGGATTAAGAGGTAAGTGGTACTACAGTTATAAACCATTTGAAAGGTGGAAAGAATGAAAATACACATAATCAAACAATCCTCGACAGGTACATAAGATGCACAAAGTGTGAAAATTGTGTATAGTTCTACGGTTTTCCTCTGATAACTATAAAATAAAGGAGGGGGAAAAAAACCAACAAAACACAAATAAAAGGCTAACACCATTAAACAGATCACAATGTTAGTCAAAACACAAATATATTTTTATGGTATAGTAATTTGTGGCTGTAACAAAGCGATAATCTTGGTAGGTTTGTTCACCTTAATTCATCACGGTAGTGGTAAATAATTTTTGGGTTAGGATTATGTAAACTATAATTATAACTGTGTGGTTATTTTGTAGTAGGGAAAACGTGTCAAAATCGCAGCAAATATTGTTAACAGCTCCACAGCAGTGGTCTTGGGAAATTTAAAATGCTGGGTGAAAAGTTATGCTAAGGTCTTCTTTTGTTTCAGCAGTAGCATCTGGTGACATGTTGTAATGGCACAAGTTTAAAGGATTAGAATGTACTGTTTAAAATTCTAATAAAATGTAAGATGTCAGTTCCGCCCAATCCAAAAAATTATTTGGAAAATATCAAAACCCATAAACCACTCTCCTAAATAAATGAGTCTATACACTTCGATTCTACAGATTTGCCCAAAAGTCAGCAACACCACATACTGTAAATATGGATCTGCAGGCCAGAAATTACTCTAACCCGGTCAGAATTATTTTCTAACCACTCAATTAGTAAGAACTTGATATTAACACCCCTTGGTTCTACTATGTTTTTTCTCTTTTCCTTTTATCCTAGTTTTCCTTATTTCTTCCTGACCAATTAACCAATTAATAAGAAAATCTCTCTTTAGATTTTTGCTCATTTATCAGTATGTCTTGGAGCTTAGATGTTATTATAACACAAGTTAATGGTATTCAATTTATTTTTTGTTGGAAGGATGAAAGAAGGGTGAACTGTCTCTGCTAAGAATCAAACCAAAACTTTGATATACTGCAGGTGAAAGCTTATTCTTACTCCATTCCCCTATCATCCAATTGTAATAATATTCCATATTAACTAAGAATGATTGATTGATCACTATTGAGTAAATCAAACATTTATAGATAGTTAAAGGACCACTCTAGGCACCCAGACCACTTCAGCTTAATGAAGTGGTCTGGGTGCCAGGTCCTTCTAGGGTTAACCCATTTTTTTATAAACATAGCAGTTTCATAGAAACTGCTATGTTTATCTATGGGTTAAGCCTTCCTCCAAATCCTCTAGTGGCTGTCTCATTGACAGCCGCTAGAGGCGCTTGCGTGCTTCTCACTGTGAAAATCACAGTGAGAGCACGCAAGCGTCCATAGGAAAGCATTATGAATGCTCTCCTATGCGACCGGCTGAATGCGCGCAGCTCTTGCCGCGCGTGCGCAGCTCTTGCCGAAAGGGCGGATCGGAGGAGGAGAGGAGGCAGAGAGCTCCCCGCCCAGCGCTGGAAAAAGGTAAGTTTTTACCCCTTTCCCCCTTCCAGAGCCGGGCGGGAGGGGGACCCTCAGGGTGGGGGCACCCTCAGGGCACTATAGTGCCAGGAAAACGAGTATGTTTTCCTGGCACTATAGTGGTCCTTTAAGATGGCACCGGTAAGCATATAAGCACACATAGCACATATTACTAGATGCAGGCTTGAAGGCCACAGCTATTAAGAGCTGACACAGCACTACAGCTGTTTATTAAGCTGACACAGCACTAGAGCCGTTTGAGAAACTTATGTTGCCATCTCTAGAACAGTACAAAGAGAGCTTGTAGATAAGAGATAATTAACCGCCCAGACCTGGCAGGAGTACTGGTGGTCCTGAACAGTCTGGCCAACTGCCAGTTCCATCCAGCTGCTTGTACCAAGGTCTTTTGCTGGGCTGCACTGATAAGGAACTACTGACTGTCCTTGGAGACAGGTATATAAGACTAAGGGAATATGGCACTCACTTGGAGAACTACCCACCTGTAATGTGGACGCGTGTTACTTGTCTCTGCTGTACCCAGAAGAGAGGGTCCCCTCCAAGCCTGACTGCTTGAGTTACCCCGGTCGTGCGCAGTGAGGACACAACCAAGCCCCTCTAATGGGGATGTATACTTAAGCTGATATATCTAGATACTAAGCTGTTTGAAGTAAATGCATGCAACTACTTAAATGAGAGTAAAACTTACTTTGCGTTAGATCCCTTTGTGGACAATAAAGTGTAGTGTGAATTCTTATATTCAACTTGGTCTCTGTGTGATTTCTCTTTCCTATAACTCAATATACTCATTCCATACTGGGTTGTGTGCCTGCCAATATCGTTTCAAACCTAATTAGGTATTGATTATTACTTTTTGTATAAGCTCACCACCTTTTTAATACCTACACTCTTCAATCGCTCAGTCTCTGTGACTCTGTCCTCTCTTGGTTTTCCTCCTATCTCTCCCAACGCTCATTCAGTGTCTCCTTTCCCAAGCATACCTCCTCCCCTCGTCCTGTCTCGGTTGGAGTTCCCCAAGGCTCTGTCCTTGGTCCCCTTCTATTTTCTCTTTATACTGCCTCTCTTGGCAAGCTTATTGCCTCTTTTGGATTCAACTACCACCTGTATGCTGATGACACTCAGATATACCTCTCCTCCCCGGACCTCTCCCCTGCCGTCCTGCAACGTCCTGCAACGAGATAAATCACAATTTACTATCAGGCATTATGAGAGAAGAATCTGGATGTGCAGATTCCAGGAAAACGCTATCTAATGCATAGTGCCTACTGCAAAGTTTTGTGAGCAGGATTTAAGATCAAGGGCTGTTTTTAGGGTGTGAGCTATGCCCCAAAGTCCCAAATGACACAAAAATCAAGATGTCCGCTTAGATTCTCAAGTGGAAATTGAGCCCTGGTGACTGATAACTTGTCAGGAGTATTTGTAGCACTGCAGTGCAGCCATGGGGAGAAGCAATCAGCTTAAAGTAACACTCCAAGCAATGTACAGATCGCAAAGCGCTGTAATGGTTATGGTTTCAGAAGTAGTTAAAGACTTCTTACTTGGGGTCTGCAGGGCAATGAGGCCAAACTCTACTTTTACCAAGTAGAGCTGGGAGCCCATGCAGTTCGGGTCTAGCTCTTTGACTCAGATCATCAGTGGTTTGCTCTCAGTCAAAAAGGCTAAGCTCTGAAATACATACTGCAAATTATTGCTGTTAACATTGTGACATACTGAAAGTTTTAAACTTAAATTTATATTTGAAGAAAAAAAAAGTCAAAATTCCGATTCTTAAATAAATATGTGAGTTGCAAAAATGCTATTAAAGCTACAATAAATATTATTTAAGCACCGGCATATATTGGAATTGTAAAAAAAAAAAAAAATTCTTAGGAATGAGGAAGAACAGTATTCAACATACAAAAAAATTAATAGACCTAGATCTAGAAGGAGAAAATCCAGGGGCAGAGGAGAACTACCGCTCCATCATACCTCCTAAATCTAGAAGGGTCACCAAAGATGTGCTCTCTACTAAGGGGATAACACTGAAACTAAGAAGTAGGAATAACTGAGTGCATAGTGCTACCCAAGTGTTAATTGAGTTACTCTGCCCCTGGCGACAGCGTTTTAGCACATCGAAAAGTGCATGGGGCATTTCATTTTTTTTGTTTTTTCAATTAACACTTGGATAGCACTATTCACATTTAGTTTGTATGCTTTGAGGGTTAT